GATAACGTTAACGTTGATAATAACAGGCGTAACGCCAACAGATGTTTACCGCTGTGAAAATCGATCCCAGGCTTTCCAACCCATGGTCTAACGCCATGGGATACTCAGTGGCTGGCGCGTATATCCAAGGACTGTGTTCACTTTCTTAATGTGTAATTTTGGTTAAGGGCAGTCCGTGTTTCGTAATAGCAATGTAAAAACAACTGCGCAGAATGAACGCGGCTGTTGACGCGCCCTAAGCCTAACTGACAACAATAACGATGTAATACAAAGAAAGCGTAACTTGGTGGCTTCTGTTCAATCAAACACTTGGTCCCTCCTCACGGAGTGTCCGGCGTGTTAGCGGGTGGTCAATTTTGACGGATATTCTGCGTGCCGCCAGGTGTGGTTCCAGAACCGACGCATGAAGCACAAGCGGCAGCAGATGACAGCCTGGCCGCTTGACCCGCGCTTCACCGACCCGGCGCTGGCCGCCATGATCCTGCAGGCGGCCGTCGCCTCCGGCACGTACCCGTACGGCGGCGTGGCCGGCCTGGCGGCGCCGCCGCTGTCCTACTACAGCCCGCTGGCCGGCTCTGCCAAGTGTCGCTTCTCGCCGTACGCGCCGCTGCCGGTGCGGCCGCAGCCGAGCCTGGCGGCGGCCGGCTTCCTGCTGCCGCCGCTGGACGGCTGCCGGCCGCCGCCGCCGCCGGCGCCGCCGCTGCCGCCAGCAGTCAGCGCCGCCGCCGCAGCAGCAGCCGCCGCCGCCCTCTCGCCGGCCGTCTCCTCCGAGCAGAGCAGCTTCTTCAGGCCGTTTGAATCTGTCGTGGCTAGGGATGGCCGTGAATGATGTTTAGTTGTCAGCTGTTTTGCCTGCAACGAGGCTCTACCTCCCTTCAAATTGTGTTGGCTGGTGTGGACAACGTAAGTCGCTCATTGGAAATCGCGGGCCCGGATTTTGGAACCCATAGTGGCAGAGGGCGGTGGCGAAACCAGCTACCTGTGATTTAGATCAAGCGTGATATCTGTTAATAGTCATTTATGATCTGTATTGTTGGATATCGTGAAATAAAAACCTTGATAGGGTTGACAGAAGTCGGTTTAAGGAAGTGCTTACTTGGCGACTAACCCGAAAAATTTGATGTCAGATTGCGTTGCATGCATGACAAAGTATTGCCTCCGCAGAGCCAGGAGGAAGCACGCGGCCCTTCGAGATAGCGCGGTGCGGCCAAACGTCGCCATCTAGCATTCGTAGGCGACCACTTGTCGCATATTCTGCGGGATTTGTACGCAGCACAGTCCACTCTGTGGGCCAGGACACCCTGTAGCCCCCCCCCCCCCCCTCTCACCCCGAGACGTGTGTTCCGACGGCACCACGGAGCCAATTGTACGGTGAAAGGGAGTTTGGGACACGATTAATTTCGGCGCTGGCTGGCCGGCCGGCGGGGCCGCCGCGCCAGAGACAATGCGCTGGCCGCGGCTGACCGGGCCGGGCCGGCCGTTACGAGTCGGCCTCCTGTGGGGGCGGCAGCTGCTCCCGGGGTGGGCACCGCGGCAGCGGCGGGGGCGTCCCGCCGGGGCCGGGACAGCCTCATCAGCGCAGAGGTTATGATGTCAGGCCAGGGGGACACAGACAACCTCATCAGAGCAGAGGTTATGATGTCAGATCATAGCGACATGGACAGCCTTATTAGCGCAGAAGTCGTGATGTCAGACCAGAAACACAGAGAGAATATCCTCATCAGTCCAGAATTTATTATGTCAGACCAGAAGGATACAGGCAGCCTCATCAGAGCAGAGCTTATGATATTATACCCGATGGACACAGACATCCTCACCAGCGCAGAGATTATGATGCCAGATCAGAGGGACACAGACGGCCTTATGAGCACAAAATTTATTATGTCAGATCAGACAAAACATGCAACTCAATCAGAGTAGACGACAAAGGCAAACTCATGAGATCAGGATCATGAGACTGGGTAGTCAGGACATGACATGAGACTGGGAGACGGGACATGAGATCATGAGACTGGGCATTCATACCATAGCGGGACGCAGTGGGCAGTCTGACCGTAGGGCAGTCTGATTGCGTGTTTGGTCAAAATCAATACCCGTTATCAGATGTGACGGAGCCCACGCAGACCACATCACGAGCTGCCAGGTGTGACGGAGCCCACGTGGACCGCGTCACGAGCTGCCAGGTGTGACGGAGCCCAGGCAGATCGCGTCACGATGCTTTCCTGGAGTGGGTCACGCAGCCGAACTCAAACGACGTTGACACAAACTGCCGGCGAAACCCGAAATAAGACACAAGAGATTGGGTTAAATCACACGGCGCTTGGAGCTGTTAGATGCTCCATTCAACAAATTTCCACTCTTACGGTGCTGTTTTGTGATCTCGAAGTATGAAAATTTTGCCATCGGCAAACGTCTTTCGTTATCTTTCCCTATTCCCCAAAAGTGTCCCCAAATCCACGTTCATGGTTGTACAATGCCGCTGCCAATCGCTGGAAGAAAAGGAAAGCAGTCACTCGGCTACATCTGATCGCAACTTCGTCAGATCATCGTTATTAAGCACTGGTCAGCGGTCGATGGTGATGTCAGATCATGGCCATTGAGCACTGGTCAGCGGTCGATGGCGATGTCAGATTATGGCCATTGAACACTGGTCAGTGGTCGATGGCGATGTCAGATTATGGTCATTGAGCACTGGTCAGTGGCCGATGGCGATGTCAGATCACGGCTATTAAGCACTGGTCAGTTCTCGATGGCGATGTCACATCATGACCATTGAGCACTGGTCAGTGGTCGATGGCGATGTCAGATCATAGCCATTAAGCACTGGTCAGTGGTTGATGGCGATGTCAGATCATGGCCATTGAGCACCGGTCATTGATCGATGGCAATACGGCGAACATAGTACGTGTCTAAGACCATTGGATTGGCCACAATTTGAAGTTCTGCGTTTTCTGTCCCATCGGCCCTGGATTTTTTTAAAATTTGGTTCAGATCATTCTAAGAAGAAGGCAAAACAGAACCAGACCATCGTGGAAATTGATTATATTTTTATATTACCACAGGCTGTTTCTATAGCCCGGCTAGGTGATTGTTAATGATAAGCTCTCACTGCAAGTGGGAAGACTGTGTGCTCTCGTCCCACCCCGTCCCATTTTCTACGCCAATAAAGTGGTAACATCAGCCATTTGCCTTCCGGCTATTCAGCTTCAATGTACCAGTGGGACGCTGATAGCGTATCAAGCACGCAACGCTGTAATCTGCGGTGACAGTAAGATCTAAACATACGACCTTGTCAACCATCCGAAACGTAATTTTACACGAGACGAGACAGCCTTATTCTCCTGACCCATCCGACAGCAGAATCGCTGGACGCCGTACAGCCGCCGGGCGTGTGACCCGGCCAAGACGGGCGGTGGCGTCCGCGGTCTGGTCCGCGGTCTGGTCCGCTCCCGTCTGGTCCGCTTCCGTCCCCCGCCGCCGGGCGGCCCGGTCCTCGCCCGGTCTGCTTCGGTCTGGTCCGCTTCCGTCCGCCGCTGCCGGGCGGCCCGGTCCTCCGCCGTCTGCGGCGGGCCGGGCGGTCCCCGCGCCGGGCCGCCGTCGTCCGTCGGCCGCCCGCCGCGCCACGATCGCCGTTTTATCGCCGCGCTGGGGGGCGGGCACGTGCAGGCGACCCGTGGCCGGGCGCGGGCGACACGCGCTGAGATTTACGTGTCGCCCACCCAGCTGCAGCGCATTGTCACCCGGCCTGGCCGTCCATTACCCGCTGAATGCGGGCCATGATGGCCCGGCGACCCGCTGGAGCCGTCCCCTGGAGAGGAGCTGGAGCCATCCACTAGAGAGGAGCTGGAACCGTCCCCTGGAGAGGAGCTGGAGCCGTCCCTGGAGAGGAGCTGGAGCCGTCTACTGGAGAGGAGCTGGAGTCGTCCGTTGGAGGGGACTGGAGCCGGCCGTTGGGGAGGGGCTGGAGCCGTCCGCTGGAAAGAAGGAGCTGGAAATAACCGAGATGTGCTGAAAATGACTTACGAGGAGCTGGAGAGAAGCTGGAAAGGAACTGAAAGCGGCTGAAGACGGCTGGAGATGATGGAGAGAGCTGGGGATGGACTGGAGAGGAGCTGGAGCAGCCCTCAGTAGCACTCTTACTCGTTCCAGCTGGAACAGACCGGACCGGATGAAGCTCTTGACGATCTTGATGCAACACTTCCGTAATGTCCATGCATTCACCACCGCACTCTGGAAGCAGCGCACTGCAGAAAGGAATTTAAAACCACCTTCCAAATATAGCCTACGGCCTCGCATGTAGTAAGTTATTTCCGAATGACTGGTGGCTTAGGCTCGCACGTTCCTCACGATTACATCCCTGGCACTACAGCGTCTTGAAAGTTAAAACAACATCCATGCACGTACCCGCATCATCTTGAGAGGCGCCCGGGGGCCCGCGGACTCTGGACCGCAAAACAGGCGGCCAGTGCTGACCGGCGGGCGCCCTTTACTCGCGCCATGTTTGTTTTTGCTAACCTCGCGACAACACGGAGGCCGCGTTACCCGGCGGGCGCGATGATCCCAGGTATTTCGTCACAACGCAGACGTCACGCTAACAATGGCGCCGTTCCATAAACTATTACGAGTCGGATCATGTCATTGTTTTACGGACTTGAATCAGCTCGGGGAAAAGCCGCCGCGCATTTCGATGACGTCACTAGGGTATGCCAGCTGATCAGGTCGGCGTCCCGTGTTTGTTTATTTGCCTTCATCTCCGCCGCTGCTGGTCATTTCCGGCCGCCAGCATGCCTGTGGCAGTGAAGCGCCCCGTCCCGGAGGGGTCAGCCTCGGGGGTGTCGCGTCTTCGGCGGCGACTCCTCGCAGGGGTGTCGCCTGTCCGGCGGTGACTCCTCGCAGGGGTGTCGCGTCTTCGGCGGTGACTCCTCGCAGGGGTGTCGCGTGGCCGGCGGTGACTCCTCGCAAGGGTGTCGCGGCTTCGGCAGTGACTCCTCGCAGGGGTGTCACGTCTTCGGCGGCGACTTCTCGCAGGGGTGTCGCGTCTTCGGCGGCGACTCCTCGCAGGGGTGTCGCCTGTCCAGCGGTGAGTCCTCGTAGGGGTGTCGCGTCTTCGGCGGTGACTCCTCGCAGGGGTGTCGCCTGTCCAGCGGTGAGTCCTCGCAGGGGTGTCGCGTCTTCGGCGGCGACTTCTCGCAGGGGTGTCGCGTCTTCGGCGGCGACTCCTCGCAGGGGTGTCGCCTGTCCAGCGGTGAGTCCTCGCAGGGGTGTCGCGTTTTCGGCGGTGACCCCTTGCAGGGGTGTTGCGTGTCCGGCGGTGACTCCTCGTGGCATTTCTCCACTTGAACTCGGTCACAGGGGACGAGCCGGGCCGGGCCGGGCCGGGCCGCGGGGGTCAACGGCGGGCCGCGAGGGTCAACGGCGGGCCGCGAGGGTCAACGGCGAGCCGCGAGGGTCAACGGCTGGCGCAGCTTTTACGGCCTCATTACAGCCGGCGAGCAGGGCTGGTCTTGTATGTCGCCCCCGACAGCGACCGCTGGGAGGAGCGCAGCGACCAGTTGCATAAGATAGGCAAGCCGTATTGTTATACAGTGCACGCGCCGTAAAATCATAAATCTCGTGTTCAATCAACGTCAGGGTATTTATTGGCCGCCGCGTGTTTTGCACTATTCATGTCGACCAGGCGGTTGCAAAAACTGCACGGGATAACGATTCTTAACTGCTGAATCTGTCATGCATGGGAGCGCTGGGTGGCCCGGGAAGACCGAGGGTGCGCCGAGATGACCTGCGTTCTGAGCGGCTGCCTCCAGCCAGCGGCCTGACGTTAGCCGCTGCCCTCCAGCGACAGACGCCGCCGCCCTCGTAGAGGCATCCCAGCGCGCTCGTGTTCGCCCTGAGGCGGACACTCTTACTGACTTTTCTTGGACGCTGTGATGTACCTTTATGTTGGATGGTACGTAGAGAAAAGTATTTACATGCGAAATGAAGGACAAAACCAATGATAGGAGCATTTTAAAGTGTAGGTACAGTGGTGTGTACGCCAAGCGCATTGGTACGAAGGCGCAGATATCTCTCTTCAAACATCCCGTAAACCATCCGATCAGTTTATTTGTTGTTTCTGTTCTTGGCAGTTGAGTCATATCTTTTCTACTCATTGGTGGGTCCCTCCATCTGCATACTCCCAGTGTTACCGTATGTGAACCATCCGATCGGTTTATTTGTTGTTTCTGTTCTTGACAGTTGAGTCATATCACTCCCACTCAATGGCGATTGCTCCCATTTGCATAGTCTCAGTGTTACCATATCTAAAAGAGAAGATCATATTCGCATAATTTAATATTAACACACCTCGCCAGGCGCAAAACTAAAGGCTTTTACCTGCGACAGCTGCACAACTTGTGCATGTTTGACATCAAGCACACCAAATTTTCCCCCGTTGTATGTGGGTGCATATGGGTGAGCACATACGTGTGTGTGTGTGTGTGGGGGTGTGTGTGTGGGTGTGTGTGGGTGTGTGTGTGTGCGCGTGTGTGTGTGTGTGTGTGTGTGTGTGTGTGTGTGTGTTTTGCGTGCCTAGATGGCTGCAGTAGCTGTAGCCATGATCCCTGCCCGCTGGACCGACGGCTTCCTTCTGTGGTCCGCCGCCGGGACGGGCGTCACACGTAAATTATTACGTCACGCTAGATGACCGCGAAGGCACCCCGTCGTCGTGTTGACATCAAGTTTGCTCGGCCGTCGAGTGGCAGTGGCACGGGCGCGACATGCACACATCATGAGCAGGCCTTGTCTCGCCTCCAAACGCGCTCTGCTGTGCTAACCAAGCTTCGTTTTGGGCTGTTCGAACGGCGCCGGTAGTAGTGCCAGCGGACTGTAAGTTACCATAAATGCCACTGAGTAATTTCATATATGCCTCACTCGCGCGCATTTGCTTATCGTTACTACTAACAGGAAATTGCCGATTCTTCGTGTCGCATTTGCTCTTCTTTTACTCAGCCATTCACATTTCTTAGGAGGGGTGCTGCAGCGGCGCAACGTTATGTCCCTAACATGGATGTTAATGTTATGTTATACGTGCCACGGCGCACAGGGACAGGCATTTGCTATCGCCCAGTCATCAGTGAAAAGGTAAATGTGCACGAACGGGTTGTGAAATGGCAGTGTCTATTCTTCTTGGAATGCATACACCGAAGGTGTGAACTGTGACCAGAGCTCGGCTATTATGGTTCGGCAGATGTACCTTACTATCCGATGTAGTTCTCATCAACGCTTGATCTTGCTTCCACACATCGATTCCTTTCCCACAAGATTTAGATCAAGAAACACAACATGGTATTAGAAAACTTCAGGGCATAGCTAAGACGAGTAAACGAAGCAGATTGACTACGAATTTGTTTTTGTTATACCGCTCGCATTCCATACTTGTTGGTTTTCTGACGAATCTTTATTTCATGGCTTCGTGGCTTGTATTGTAGAAGTACGAGCAGCATCCAAACCAGCCACCAACCCACTACTAGCCACACTCATCATTGCTAGCACATGTCGAGCTCACTCATTCACATTTCACCTGTACAGTTGCCCAAAAAGAAGCCAATAAGCTGATTATGGCTTGAGGGCCTATCTGATTATGTCACACCTTAAGGCTTGATTTATCTTCAACCTTGCATTTATGCGATGTTTAAGTTCATCACGTAGGTTTATCGTGGGTATTGTACTTTTCATCACGCAGCGTTCCAAATCAAATAAAAACCAGCCGCAGAACCGCCTAGTCAGTCAATGTCTCACCTGTCCAATAAGCTGATCATGGCCAGATATATTTCCTGATTATTCCAGCCCGCTAATTCTGACACCTTACATTTATACGATGTAAGTTATCACGAAGATTATCAAGTAACCTTATCACGAGGGAGTGTGCTATTCATCATGCAGCGTTGCAAATCAGATAAAGATCAAACTTCAACCGTCCGGCCTATCACCTTTTCATCTCATTCTAACCGTCTCACCCACCATGCTCCACCAGCAGGCTCCCCTAGACAGCGCACCAATTGCCCCAGCCGGGGCCGGGCCGCTTCCGCCGTCGCGCCCGGCTACCGATTTTCCCGCCAGCGCGCCGTCTCCCACCAGATTTGGCGCGCCGTGATCGGCGACGATTACGACTATTCCGGGCCATTTCTCGGCGCCGGAGATGTCATTATTCTCGCGCCAGCCGCGCCATTTTCTCGCCGCCGGCTCCCGCCGCCTGAGCCTGGTAATCCCTGGACGCCCATTACCTCCAAATTGAATCTGTTATAACACAATTAAGCTGAAGCCAGAGAAAATTAGCCTGTATCATTCGGGATTATTATTTAATAATTGAATATCAGTGGGTCGTGTCGGGGCTGGGGCGCGCTGAATTGTTAACGCGCTGACACTGCAGAGAGAGGGAAGAGGGCCGTGCGGGGCGGCGTGGTGGCCAGGGAAGGGTTACGCCACCTGCTGGCCTTGTCCACAGACAGCCCACGGCAGAAACCTTGGTCTGCGAAAGGTCGTGACATGGGGCCGAAAAGATGCTGCGCTAGAAAAGAAAAGATTCGCGACACCGTTAATTCTATGGAAGAGAGCTTCGATGACATCGTTGCCACCTTCTTGACCAGCGAAAGCCAGTGTTCTTTGATTTATACCGCTTGAATGTCAAAATACTGCTTTGGAATGGCTGGAACAGAATAGAAAAATGCAATATTTTAGCAAAAAAACCTGGGAAGGGATGTGTTCGGAAATATAAAAAAACGCTATTAGAGTTCATCCTCACTCCGTTATTCTGGGCACCTTTCATTCCGTTCCAAGTTCCAAGTCTTTCTTGCTGAGTTTCGTCGGCATGAGCACTCAGTGGCCACAGCAGGTGGATACACATCTCAAACCCTAAGCCGTCCCCTTCACAGAACATGCAACTTATGCTTGGGCGACTGCCTAAACGGTCCAGTCTGTAGGCTGACTGCGATTTGCCAAAATACTGGCATTTGTTAGTACTACATTTACTGGGCTACTACGACCTACCCTGCGGACGGAGTGCGTTTTTGCTCCAATACGATTTGGTAAGTTTCTCACGTGCAGTGGGGTCTCTCCAGCGACCCGCAGGCCGGAATTCCTGTCACTGTCAAAGCTGGCTCTGATACTGCAGACGTCTCTCAGCGCAACAGCTGTCGGCGGCGGCTTCCGAACTGAGGCTCGCGTCCAGACGTGCACCAGTGAACTGGTGACCCCGCCCGCGCTCACACGCGTATGATCAGAAGGTGAAGTAAAGAATGCCCATGGATTTACCGTATGGTCCCGCTGCCTGTGGGTTCACCCGATCCACGAGGGAATCTGCTTCGCTGCCAGGGACGAGGCGAGTAAACAAATGGACAATTGTTAAAGCGATCGGCTGATCAGTGGCCCTCAAACTGGCGGCTGTGTTACTACTGTGCCACTGTAGCCCAGCACCGCAGCATCCGTGCCATGGTGGTGATGTCGCACCGGCATACGTCTATGGGCTGTACTTCAGACTGTCGACTAGTGAGCATTGGCAGCTCCTGGCACCAGTCTGTAGGCTGCACTTCGGGCTGCAGACTCGTGAGCATTGGCAGCTCCTGGCACTAGTCTGTAGGCTGCACTTCACACCGCCGACTTGTGAGCATTGGCAGCTCCTGGCACCAGTCTGCAGGCTGCACTTCACACTGTCGACTTGTGAGCATTGGCAGCTCCTGGCACCAGTCTGCGGGCTGCACTTCACACCGCCGACTTGTGAGCATTGGCAGCTCCTGGCACCAGTCTGCAGGCTGCACTTCACACTGTCGACTTGTGAGCATTGGCAGCTCCTGGCACCAGTCTGCAGGCTGCATTTCACACCGCCGACTTGTGAGCATTGGCAGCTCCTGGCACCAGTCTGCAGGCTGCACTTCACACTGTCGACTTGTGAGCATTGGCAGCTCCTGGCACCAATCTGCAGGCTGCACTTCAGACTGCCGACTTGTGAGCATTGGCTGCTCTGCGTGTTCGATTATTAACAGCGCCCGGTCAATGCCGAACACCGCTTGAAAGTCAGTCTATGCTTCGCATGTAACTGCTCCGCGGACTTTTCGCCCTTTTGAGTTTAGTTGGCTTTACGGAGAAAACAAATTGCATCAGCATCACAGGCTCTTTTGAACGTGACATAAGAAGTTCATGATTGGAACGCATCTTTTCGCCACACAAGGAATGCTGTTACGGGATATCGTTTCGTTTCAAGG